CTGGCTGTTCCAAAGTTTGTTTTTCCATTTGCCTGCTGAGGGACATCTTGGTTGCTTTTAAATTTTGGCAATTATGAAAAGAGTTGCTATAAATATCCATGTGCAGGTTTTGTGCAGATGTAAGTTTCTAATGCCTTTGGGTAAATCCCAAATAGCATGATTGCTGGACCATGTGGCAAGAGTAAGTTTACTTCTGTAAGAAGCTGACAAACGGGGCTGGGGATGTAGCTCAGTGGCAGAGGACTTGCTTTGCAAGTGGAATGCCCTGGGTTTAACTTTCAGTACTACAAAAACAAAAAATGAAAGTGATAAACTGTCCTCCAGAGTGGCCATAGAATTTTGCATTCCTTAGTAAGGACCATGAGCTCCTCTTGTTTGTGTCCTGGCCTAAGCCTCTGTTGTCTCTTAAGTGGTGGTGACAGGAACGTCTTCTGCAATGCTTTTCTACACTCATGTCCTTTTCTGGTCTGTAACCCAACTCAGGATCCACTTTTCCTTTAGCAGTCATGTCTCCCTAATCTCCCTCAGTCTGGGATGGCTCCTTGGTCTTTCTCCTTCTCCCAGGTCTGACGCTTGAAGACTGTTCCTCCATTACTTTGCAGAATGTCCCTGTTCTGTGTTGGCCTGGTGTTTTTCCATGAGTAGATTGATTGAGCTAATTCTCATGATGATGCATTTTGGCAAGAATGCCACAGCAGCAGAGTCTCTTTTGAGTCCTTGCTTTCAATTCTTTTGGGTATAGACCCAGAACTGGAATTTCCAGGTCACATAATAAATCTGTTTAACTTTTTGCAGGCCTATAGACTTTTAGGGTTTCTCACATAGGTGTCTCCTTGCATACCACTGTTGCTCAGGGTCAAAGTGGTGAGATGGTCCCTGGGGATTTGATATGGGAGATCTCCTTGGTGGGGGCAGGAGTTAAGGAGTCCACTGACTGTGTTAAGTGTTAAGTAACTATCCATCAATCATCTGGCTGTTCCAAAGTTTGTTTTTCCATTTGCCTGCTGAGGGACATCTTGGTTGCTTTTAAATTTTGGCAATTATGAAAAGAGTTGCTATAAATACCCATGTGCAGGTTTTGTGCAGATGACTGGCCTCCCACTGCATGGCAGTGGCAGGGAGGACCTGGACCTTCCCATGTCCCTCAGAAACCCTCTGCTTGATAACATGGCTTTCTTACATCCCCGCCGGCCTCACTCAGCAACTGTCTGGTCCCAGGATGGCTCCATTCTGCATATCTCACCCATGCCGGAGGAGCCCAGCCGAGACCAGCCTGAGGACAGGAAAGACTTCCTGCGGGGCCCCCAAGTTGAGCTGCCCTCAATGCCACTGGAGAGAGACAGGTAGGTGAGATCTAGCCTGGTGGAGACCAAGGCTATGAATCCCAGGCTCTTGTTTGGCAGGTGGCCTGAGGCTGATTTCAGAGCCAGTGCTTCCTCTTTCCTGGAGTGTCCAACTTCTGTTGCTTGAGAGATCCTTGTAAGAATAACAAATTGCCCTAGAAGGTGACCACTGAATGGCGTAGCTATTAGGTTAAACATTTAAATAAAATAAATAAAAATATCAGGACACTTTACCCCTAGATACAATAGTGTACTGTTCCCTCTAAAACCACAGTGTAAATAATTATTCTCAACAAAGTTAGTGATGCTTTTGAATGTCATTTCATATCTTACCTGTTGTCAGATTTCTCCAGATTTTACCCCAAACGCCTCTGCAGCTGGTTTATTCAAACCAGGAGGCTGTGAAGTTCCATTAGAAAGCCCAGGTCTACCTTTGTCACCTTTGGGCAATGAAAATCCCAGGGCTCCAGGCAGAGGTTGCCTGGTTCCTTCAGTATATGGGCATATGCAAGCATGTTGGTGTGGCAGTGTGCGCTCTGCATGTGCATGTTAGTGCATTTGTGAGTGCATGAAGTTGTTTGAGTTCTCAAGCTTCATATGCACACAAGTGTACACACACATTCATCCATGTGAGCACACACATGTGTTTGTGTGCAAATGTTAGTGTGCCTGTGTACATGGGCACATGTGTGTCTGTAGGTGGTGTGTGCATGTTTGGGGGAACAGTAAGAGGACAATCCCTCTCTTTCCCATCTTGATGATCATGGCTGACACTCTATAACAAAAGCAGGTTAACAGGAGACACGCATAACCAATTTATTTATTTATTTATTTATGTAGTGGTATTGGAGACTGAACCTAAAGCCACTGAGCTATACTTTTCAGTCCTTTTTTTAAATTAAATTTTTTATTCTTTTTTTAGTTGTAGATGGACACAATATCTTTATTTATTCATTTTTTATGTGTTGCTGAGGATCAAACCCAGTGCCTCACACATGCAAGGCAAGCACTCTGCCACTGAGCCACAACACCAGCCCCTTATTTTTTATTTTTTAATGGTAATTTTTATTGATACATTATAATTATATGTAATAATGGGATTCATTTTTACTTATTTGTACAAGTACACAGCATAATTTAATCCCCTCCCCATCCCTTTCAAAATTTTAAGTCACCCAGACTAGCCTTGAACTTACAATTCTCCTGCCTAAGCCTCCCACATCACTGGGATTATAGGTGTGTGCCACTGTGCCCAGCCAGCATAACAAATTTACTTGATCATCATCTTATGTAATACTGGAGGCTTCAGAATGAAGACCCAAAGACCCAGGGTGAACTCCCCATTTTTATGCTCAGGTCTGAGCATAAAATTGGAAATTTTTTTGGAAAAGAAGTGTGTGAGTTGATGGTAGTGAACTTAGGGGTGGCCCAGCCAGGCCTGTCTGTGCAGGCTCTTCGGGCCACTCTGCAGCATTCCTTCTGTAATAAGGGCCTGATGATCTGCTGTTAAGCCAGGCAGGTCAGAAGAATTTCTTTATTTCGGGAGTGTTGGTAGGGGTAGGGGAGTTAGAGTAGCATTCTTATGTTTCATGGCTGCTTTGGGGACCCATCTTGGAGAAGAGGAATTCTGGTTTCTATGGCTTACCTTGAGGGAAGAATGGTGGCAGAAGATGGGAAGGCCACAGAGGCCTCCACATAAAGTGTCATTTTTTTTTATCCCCAATGTGTGTCACATGTGCACACATGTGCCTGTATCTGTGTCATGAAGGTGCATTGGGTTCGTGTGCACATGTGTATGTATGTGTATGCAAACACAGTGCCCTGGGCCCCAGTCCAGGCTACACACCTCTCTACTCCCCTATGTCCTGTTGTCTTCCTGTCCTTAGCCCATACCTGGCATGAACTTGGTCCTTGGCCCATTGAATAAGCTCTGAGAACAGCTCAGAGGCAGTGCTCCTCTAGATCTGGTGAGTGAGAGGAGGGGCTTCCCCTCCCTTCCCCAGAGCCAGACCTGGGAACAGCCAGAACTGGGGTGAGTCTGGGCTGAGCTTCCTCCGAGCTGTGCATAGGAGCACAGTTAAGTGTCCAATGTGCGCAGGAGTAAGTGTGCAGCTGGAATGCCAGCTGTGTTGGAAGTCAGGCCCTGCCAGCCCTGAACCTCACCTTTCACACTTGGAAGCCACCCGGAACCTCAGAGCCCTGGGGTTCATTTGGGGGTGTGGTCGATATCTCCTTGGCTAAGTGAATAAAATCAATCTCTAACTTTCTCTCTCACTGGAAGTCCATTGGCCCAAAGTCCCAAACTTTCTGGCCACAAGTTTGGTAGCCAGGCCTACCAGGAGCCAGCTTATCAGAGTGACCAAGACCTCCCTGTCACTAACGACAAGGGAGTGGTCCATGAAGGTCTGTGCAGGATCAGGAGGGGCCCAGCAGGCAGATATCTTCACTGTGCCTCACCTGTTCTGAGGTGGGTGGGTCTTCTGCTCACCTGCTCACTCTTTTATTGTCCTAACCGCTTGCCCATTGGGTGGTGTGTCCTTGGACAGAGTGTGGGACAGGGCCTAGTCTGCCAAGGACGGTGCGCGCCTGGTCCTAGGGATAGGCATGGCTACAGTAGGTGACCAGTGCATAATGTCAGGTGAATGAGCTCTACCAGAGAAGCCTGGCCACAGCCACCACTGTGCCCCAGTGCATGACACCACCACTCTGCCCCCATGTGTGGGCCACAGCCTTGCGGCCAGAGAAGAAGCCAAGGCTCAGGCTCAGGCTGGTCCCTGGATGTATCAGAGGGCACAGTAGTCCTACTTGTGCCTCCACTTCATCCACAGTGATGGTAACAAGTCATCAAAAGCCACACCATTGAAAAAGCCAGGAAAGCAAGACTGTCTTCTCCCTCCGCCGTCCCTCCGAGTGCTGTTGACTCCTCCCATCCACGAGGTTGGTGTGCGGTGCTCAGTGGGGCCTGGACTGTGCAGAGGCTCCCCACTCCCCTGCAGACCCTCACACCCTCAACCAGAACTGCACAGGCCAGTGGCGAATGGGTGGGGCATCCAGAGGGAGGGCCATCCATCCTCCTGCAACCATCAAGATGGTAGCCTGCACAACACTAGAGGTTAGCCTGTGACAGTGTCCTGAGGCTGCTTCAGGTCCAGCATCAAACACAGGGCTACATCCTCTGAAGGCTGAGAGTCCAAGGTAAGTGTCTGGTAGGCCATGCTCCCGCCCAGGCCCTGGAGGAGGAGCCTTCCTGCCTGGTGGCTCCTGGTGGTTCCTGGCTGCAGCCACATAGCCCCATCTCCCCAACATCTTCCTGTGGCTCTGCCTTTCCTTTCCTGTAAGGACTGTAGTCCCTGAATTACAGCCCATCCTGAATCCAGGATGCCCTCCTCTAGAGAGCCTTAATTAAGAACACCCGCAGAGATCCTAGTTCTGCATAAGGTCCCCCCAGGTCCTGAGCAGATGTGAAGGGGGGGGGCATCCTGTCACCCTAGTGCTGGCGGCTCCCACTTGGTGATGAGGCCATCTTTCTCTTCAGCTTACAAAGTAAGAAAATGAGACACAGGTACTGGAAGTAACTGGCTCTGTCCCCCTGCGGCTGGCTGTGGTAGCTCTGCAGGATCTTCCTTTGTTCATAGTAGGTTGGGGTGATCACACCTACCCCCTGGGGTGCTTGAAAGAATTACAAGAATGAAGGAGTTAAAAGCATCAATGTGCTCCTGTGTCCTCCCAACTTGCTTTTTAGCTTTCCTGGGGTGTGGGCACTTTGGGGCTCAGGAACCAGCCAGATCTGGGCTCAAATTGCACTGTATCCTTTGCTAGCTTTGTGACCTCAGACAAGTTACTGCACGACTCTGTGCTGTTTCTTCACCTGTAAAATGGTGAACATAAGGGTCTTATTGTGGTGCCAAGTACAAGAAAAAGCAGTCTAACAACTCAGGGAGCAGTGCCTCTCCTTTCCCTTTGTGTCTCTTGAGGAAGGCTGACCGGGCCCACTCCTTGCCCACCCCTTGCCCTGACATACTTGGTGCCTCCTCGTTCTCACTGCCCTCTGATTCCTATTTTTGAGCCTCTCTCTATATGGCTTGAATTTTCTTTCTTCTCTCCCATTTTCTCTGCTTCTCTTTATTGTGTAGACCAGCCTAACTTTGCTCCCAGAAAGCAACAAGTCTCCTCTTTTTCTAGGGGTTGGGGAGGGGCGGACAGTGAGAGACAGACTGGCAAATATGAGACTCTTGCAGGGGGTGGGCTTGGTGAAGGAGAATCCCTGCAAGTCAGTGATTTTGGTCTTTTCCCATGAGCAATTACGTAAAAGCTATTAGTGTTCGTTATGACTACGAACAGAATGAATGAGCAGGCTCCGACATATCCCACTGCTGCCCGCTATAGTGAGGACGCCCCATCCTCTGACACCACAGGGCGCTGCAGGGCTGCTCTGCAGTGCAGAAGTGCTGGGGAACTCCTTCCTGGAGAACTCTTGGTCAGTGACCCTGGGAGCCCCTCCCTGTGGTGGCAGGACCCCACACCTGAGTGCCAGTCTTACTCCGGGATGTCCCACACATTCAGCACAATCACCAGAGTGGCACTGTCTGGTCACACACCCTCCTTAACCATGTTACTCCCCAGTATCTTTCCCCCTTATAAACTACCTACCTGGAGTCATTGTCTCCAGGTCTGCTCTGGGATAGTAGTGACACTTGGGGACAACAGTCCCATCTAGGGCCTCTGACCACTCTGAGGGTATTGTCTTCCTACAGAAGCCAAGCTCCCTGAATATGAAGAGCCTGCTGTCCAAGGTGTACCCCCCAGCTGGGTTGGAGCTGGGCACCCTGTGGCCAGCAGGGGAGGCTGGCAGCCTAGCCCTAAGCACCCAGGTGCTCAAGGAGATGGCCCTGGGCACCAAAAGCATTGCCCTCATTGCAGCCAGCCGACGCTCCAAAGCACAGGATTGGGAGGGCAACAGCTCCTCCCGCCACTTCCTAGAGGAGGCAACCCTGGATTCCAGAGACCTGAAGCCCAACACCACCCCTGACCCCACCCTGGCAGATAGGAGCTGGCCCCATGCCAGCCCACGCAGGGACCATTCCATGGACAGGAAGTCCAGGAGGAAACGCTCACCCTCGCTTACCTGGAGCGTGCATTCGGTAGGTGCTAGGGCACTGGAGGAGGACAGGAGGGCAGGTCAGGGACACAGAGTCATGGTGGACATGGGAGGCCCCAGTTCCTCACCTGTCCCTCACCAGTTTCAAGCTCATATGTGATCTTGAACCACATGTGTCCATGTTCCATTTGAGAGAGAGATTGAGACTTATTACCAGGAACTGGCTCAGGTGATCATGGAGGCTGGAAAGTCCCCAAATCTGTAGGCTGAGTCAGCAGCTGGAGGCCCCAGAGAGTCAGTCTCAATTCAAGGCTAAGGGTGGGAAAAAGTCAGTGGCCCAGCTGGAGGAACTATCTCTTATTTGGAGAAGGGCCTGCCTTGTGTTCTGCTGAGGTCCTCATGTGATCAGAGGTGGCCCACCACATTAGGAGGGCCATTCTGCTTTTGTCATCCAGATGTTACACTCACCCAGAAGCACTCTTCCAGACACCCCCAGAATAATGTTTAGCCAAGTATCTGAGCACTCCATGGCCCAGACAGGTTGACGCACATAACTGACCACTGCCCTGGGTTTAGACGAAAATTCCCACTGCTAGAGGACTTTATAAGGGGAAAGGGGGACTCACTGTTAGAAAAGGGTCATTTATTCATTCAGTGGGGACTGAGGAGATTAGTAGGAATTCTGCACATTTTTTACCTAGAGGCTCACAACAGTCTGTCACCCGGTAGCTGTTTAATCAGTGCTCCCCTCGCCATGCTGTCCCTTCAGCACCCATTCCTCACTCCACACCACACCTGTTGTGTGACCTTTCCTGCAGGAGAAACTTCAGCCCCACTCTGTGGAGCACCTAGTGGACAGCCAGCTGCCCCCAGCACACCTTCAGCAGTCAAAGTCGCCAGGAAAGAGCTTTCTCCCTGCTGTCCCCGTGGCCTCCAAGATAAAACCCAGCCTCAGTTTCCACACAGGTACGGCATCCAAGGCAGAAAACAGCATGTCAGTTTTTTCTGTATCCTATGACACTGTCCCTCCTTCCATATGAGCACCTTAGAAAGTATGATAGGCTGCCCTGGGATCAGCTGTCCCAGTGAGCTGGGGCCACCAGCTTCCTGAAGATGGGGCTGTGGGCTCACCTTGAGCCTGCCGACTCTCTGGTTGGCGATTGAGATTGGGTGTAGTCCCCAACTCTATGCGCCTGTGCTCCTGTCCTAAAGGCCAGTTAGTGAGGCCAGAGGGTGGCTCTTTGGGTGTTATGATAAAAACAGTAACTTTATTTTGCTACGTAGATAAAAATTATACGTGAGAAGAACCATTTATGAACCCTACCACCCAGAAGTAGTCACCAAGAATAGTATCCTGTCTCTGCCATTGATGTGAATAGCCCCTCCCCTTACAGGAAGTCAGGGCTGTGTGTGATTCATCACCACCGCAAACGGGTGACCTGCAGCAGAGGTCAAGACCAAGTATTTGAGAATAAAGTACAAGTTTGGGGGTACCATGACTCATGACCAATGGCCTAGTTCTATATTTTTGTTTACTGATTTATTTTTGCAGCATTAGAAATTGAACCCAAGGGGGCTCTACCATGAGGTGTATCCCCAGCCCTTTTTGATTTTTGATTCAGGATCTTGCTAAGGTTGGAGACTGGTCTTGAACTTGTGATCCTCCTACCTCAGCTTCCCAAGTCACTGGAACCACAAGTGTGCCCTACTGTGCCCAGCTAGTTCTGTATTTTAAAAAATGCTACATTTTGCTGGGGGCAGCGGTGCATGCCTGAGGCAGGAAGATGGCAAGTTTGAGACAGAAGAGACTGCCTCAAAATAAAAAATAAGAAAGGTTGAGGATGTGGTTCAAAGTGTCAACCCACAGAAGATTGTAAGGAAGCAGAGCAAGCTCCTCCTCACCAAGGGGCTGGGAGCACCAGCTGACCCGGGGGTTACATGATGGTGCCCATTTACTGAGCACACACTGCACCAGGCACTATGCTATGCACCCTGCAGGGTGCATCTTTATCCTCATAATAGTCCTGTGAGGTAAGGAATGGCCCCCTCCATGTTATATGATGAATAAACTGAGGCACAGAGATGTTGAGGAGTTTGCTCAAGTCCACCCAGCTGGGAGTGGCAGAGTTGGGACTTGAAACCAGGTGAACTGGCTCCAGATTCCTAGTTCATGACCACAGTTCCATGTCCTTTTGTTTTTACTTTATAAAGGTGTGGTCTCTGGATCAGAGGGTGTGCACATTTGGGGGGTTATGGATGGTATTTCAAGGACAGTGGAAACAGACATTGCCAGGTTTACTGTCCACCTTGCCACAGACATGCAGCTTGGCACTTCAGAAGTGTTTGATCCTGATGACAAAATTGACAGAATGCAGTCATCAGCAGTGTGTGTGTGTGTGTGTGTGTGTGTGTGTGTGTGTGTGTATTTTTTGGTATCAGGGTTTAAATTCAAAGGCACTTAACTATGAGCCACACCGTCAGTTCCTCCCTTTAAAAAATATTTTTAGTATTTACTTTAAAAGAGGAGAAAGGGGCTGGGGAGGTGGCTCAAGTGGTAGCAGGCTCGCCTGGCATGCGTGTGGCCCGGGTTTGATCCTCAGCACCACATACAAACAAAGATGTTGTGTCCGCCGAAAGCTAAAAAATAAATATTAAAAATTTTTAAAAAATAAAAGAGGAGGAAAGAAAATATTTTAAGTGACACAATGAACTTAATCCATGGAAAAAGTATACATAGTTGATATTAGAATATACATATCTTTGGGATTTTTTAATTCTTTTTAGTCATGTATCACAGTAGAATCTTTTTTGATATGTTTATACAAGCATGAAATGTATCGATATTCTAATTAGGATTCCAGTTCTTAGGGATGTACATAATGATGAGATTCACTGTGGTGTATTCATATAGGTACATAAGAAAGTTATATCCAATTTGTTCCTCTGTTTCTCCTATTCCTATCCCTCTTCCTTCTGGTCATTCCCCTTTATATAATACACTGAACTTGTATTCTTCCTCTACACATTTTTATATACAACTAATTGTTTCTGTAAAAAACAGGTAATGAGGGCTGGTAGAGCACTCATCTAGCACAGGCAGGACCCAGGTTCAATCCTCAGCACCACATAAAAATAAAGGCATTGTGTTGTGTCCATCTACACCTAAAAAATAAATATTTAAAAAAACAGGTAATGAATTATATATAAAACTGATACCAAATTGTGGGGGAAAAACTATCAAGCTATTTTTTTCCCCAGCTTTAGGTGAGTCAAAGATTTTAATAGAAATCACCATGTCACATGCTCATGTGACTTTGGACATGAGCAGGAGCAGAATGAGCATATTCAGAGGATGCTTTCCTGTTTCCATTATGTAAGCTATGCATAGTGAAGAATAGGACTGGGAGAAGCCAAGTCCTCTTCATTCTCACCTTCTATGAGCCCAAACTCTCCCATCATGTATCTCTATGTCTATGTCAGACCCCCAATTCAAGCAAAATGCAGATTGTTAAATCCATAACCAAACCACCAAAGAAAGCAGACTAAATTTATACAGAATTGTTTCCCTGATGAGTTTAGATATCTGTTTTTCATGTTTCTTAACATATTTTTGCATACCTGGGCTCGTGGATGCAATTTAGGAACCAAGTTCACCTTTTTATTTTTTATTTTGAGACAAGGTCTTGCCAAGTTGCTTAGGGTCTCATTAAGTTGCTGAGGTTGGCTTGAACTTGAGATCCTCCTGTCTCTGCCTCCCAAGCCTCTGGGATTACAGGCATGAGCCACCATGCCCAGCTTGTAGTACCATTTTTTCCCCCAAAACTTGAAACACTTTTAAAAACAAAATGTTCTTTATGGGATTTTCTGTTTTCAGGAGTAGCCCCCTTCCCATTATGTGCTCTTAAAACAATGAAAAGTCACAGAGAACACAGAGTGGCATAGAGTGGGAGCTGGGAGTCAGGGATGGAGCTGGCCTTCCCCAGCACTCCCAGCTGACAGGCAGTACACAGTGCCAGGCTCCAGTCACGTCAGGGGGTGTCCATGATAGCCCCTTTCTGGATCAGGGACTTAGAAATGCCTGTGCAATTATGTGTAATGGCTCAGCCTGGTGCAGCCACAGTAAGTACCACATAGACATGCCCCCTAGCACTGCTGACCCAGAAGAGTCCCCTACTCTGCCCACAGGAGGTGAGTGGGTATTCATATCTCCTCTAGAAATGAGCCTGTGGGGATGTGTTTGTATGTGATCAAAAAATTTCACTTTCTTTCCCCCACAGTCTATTGTGAAATTTCTAAACATAGACAGAAGCTGAGAGAATAATTACAATAATCTCCATGTACCCACCACCCAACTTGTTTCTTCTCTCTATATACTTTTGTTTGTTTGTTGTTTGATTTCCTGGGGATGTCTCAAGAAAATCCAAGATCGTGCCATTTTATTTCATTTCAAGAGCTCCCTGACAATAGAGCTTTCCGTGTGGTAGATAGAAGAACAAAGAGCAGTTCCCTAAGATCATCTCGTGCTATCTGCGTACAAAAGAAGACCAACTTTGCAGATAAGCAAGAGTAGTCTGCACTGGCCCTCTCAGTGGGCAGGAAGGGGCTGCTTCTCCAGGATGAGGCCGAATTCCTGCTGTCCTTCCCAGGAAGTGGCTCGATGCCCTGCTCAGTGGTGCCAACACAGTCTCTGTGGGGCCAGGGTTCTCAGCTCTACAGCTGTAGGGTTCTGTGATCAAAAAGTTAACACATATTAGAGCTGGATGGTCCTTCAAGATCTTTAGCCCAGCTGGTTCAGGTGGGTAAACTGAGGCCCGGAGAGTAGAAGTGACATCTCTAGGGTCACATCAGGTATTGATGGCATGGTTAAGATTGGTGCCCAGTGCCGCTCTCTCCACCTGGCTGCCATGCTTCAAGAAAGAATGTACTTGTGTTTTCAGGTGTACAGAAAGGGCTGGCAGGAGGTGGGGCAGACCAGGTATCCCTTCTTGGCAGGGGCAGACAGCTCTTCACTGCACACAGGTCCCCTGGGGAGCTGGAAGATCACAGATGTACAGTGTTTGCAGAAGGCTGGGCTCCCAGATGGCACCTTGGCCCAATGAGTTTCGAGAGCTGAGTGAGACAAGGAGGAAGAGTGTAGAACAACTCGACTTGGGCTTGGACACTCAGGGGGCTTCTCTGTAGGGTGATGTTGGGCAGAGACCTGAGGAAATGGGAACCCAACTGGATGGAAGGGAGAGATGCCCTTCTCTCCCCACAGCCCACCCCTTGGCTTCCTTTTCTATTTGAGTATATGCAATAAACCCAGCGAGTCCTCTTCATTGCCATGTAACTACCAGCCAAGAGCAAGAGGGGATGGAGAAGGAAACACAGTTGCTGATGGGAAGAGACAAGAACAAAAAGCTGGGCTGGGGAAACTTCTTGAAGGACAGAGTGCAGGAGTTCACATAGAAAAACAAACCCTGGGGGGGTCCCAAGGAGGGGTTAGGCACAGAGCCTGACGTGGGGTGAGTTCTTGGTATGTATTGTCCATTCTTCAGTTTGGTTTCCAGGAATCACTGGGTAGTGCTAATAATGATATCGTCCTGTCTTTGTTCAGATGAGAACACACTTCATGTACCTGAAGTCAGTTTCACCTTCCCCAGCGCCATGTGGCAGAGCAGCACAGGCCCAAGCAGGCCACCCCTCCTGCCCAGGGACATCCGAGGTCAGTGTCTGCTTCCTCCCCACCATCCAGTCCTGTAGCTCCCACCCCACTGGCTACCAGGGTTCTCCTGTCCTCTCCACAGGGAGAAGTAAGGGCAGGAAGGTCACTGTGCACAACTCAGTCCACTCTTGCCATACCGCCTCTGTGTAGGCCCTATAATTGTCCTTGTTTGCAGGACCCTGATGTTCACAGAAGATAGAGACTTGACTGAAGGTCACTAGGGAGTGAGAGGAGAACCAGCATTTGAACTTGGGCTTTTTGTCTGCAATTGCTCAGCTTGTTCTGCTGGTAGAGAAGAGACAGCAGGATCTGGCTTGGCCCCAGCAGCTCTCCCATCCCTGATGCTGTACTTCACTTGCCTCTCACACATATGCCCAGCTTCAAATGAACTGTAGGCCACAGCCCCAGGTCGGCCAGGAAGGCTGGAGGAAGGCTGATGGCAGGGGAGGGTTACAGTTGGGCTGAAAAGGGGAAGGTTTGGCAGCACCTCTGATGGGGCGCAGGGGCTGGAGTTGGAGAGCTACATCAGGTGAATCAGCATGTGGCAGTAAGCTGGGGTGTGCACTCAGGATAGAAAGAGATGGGACTTTCAGGGCAGAGTCCTGGTGATGTGGAGCTAGACATCTGGAGGTTGGAGAGATACCTGGGAAGGATGTAGGTACCTGGTTGGTAGGTGGGAGTCTAGCTGAGCCTATTTCCTATGCACTGTGTATAGACCCATCCAATTCTTTTAAAGAACTTTTATTATTTCTTGTAACTTCAGACATGTACAAATAATTGCTTAATTTTTAATGTAGAACTGCCCTTCCCAGTAGAAGTATGAGGTGAGCCACATATATAATTGCAAATGTTCTCATAGGTACAGGTGAAACCTCAATGTATAATCAATGTTTTATTTACCTCAATGTATAATCAATGTAAAAGTAATAACGAGAAAGTTCACATTCTTTATTTTGGCGCTAAGTCCTCTGAAGTCCATGTGAGTTTTGCACGTACAGCACATCTCAATTTTGCATTTTGGGTGCTAAGTAGCTGCATGTGGCCAGTGGCTGCTATATTGAAGAGCACAGTCCAGAACATTACCAGAGCACACCACCTGGTTCTTGGTCCCCTTCTGGAAGACAAGAAGCTCTCTCTGGTGTCATTGACATTATTTTGTCACCCCCTGAATCACCTTGCAACCAGACCATCAGGAAGGATACGTTCAATTATCAGTGGGCTTACGGACCACCTGGGACCATCTGGGCCCATGCAGGAGGTTCTTTCTTCTGTTTGATCTTAGTACCTGCTGTGGTACCTTTAACCCATTCCTCGTGTCACTGATTAAGAACTTGTCATTATTATGCCATTCTTTTAAGGATTCTTGGCTCTCAATGGTGTTTAGCAGTGGGACCAGAACTCCTAAGCCATAGCATGCTGAGTTTTAACAGTGTGTCTCTAAATGTGAGGGATGGAGAAGGATCCATAAACATCACCTTTCCTAATTGCATCTGGCCAGAGCTGTTGAGTGCATCCACATGTGGAGACTGTGGCTCTGGGAGGGTCCTGAGAGTACTGGAGCAGCCAAGACCACAGCAGACATGGAGGGTTCGGGAGAAAGTCCCAGAGGGCTCAGGGGTGGATCTGCCTGGGGAGTGGGGAAGGGCCCAGTAGGTTGAGCTGCCTGGGGAAGTGGCTTAGGTCATGGTGAGGCACCACACCAGCAGGTGCCCAGGCTCTTACAGAAGCAGAGAAGAGGGGCCATTCCATGTAGTGGGCCCCCCCAACTTGGGGTGCTTGCTTTACTTGAGTTTGCCTGGACCACAAACTGAAGTCTCCCCATTCACCCAGGGTCTACAGAGAGTGGAGGGCCACACCACAGCCCGCTGCCCCCCAGCAACCCCCGGAAGCTCCGGGATGGCAGTGCCAAGAGGCCAAGAAGACCCAAATAGATGGTGGAGCCAGAGCCTCACACAGGGAGGCCAGAGGAGCTTGGCCTTAACCTAAAATTGGATTGGAGAAAAGAGGGCCCTCGCTGAACACTTTGGGGATAGCCCTTACTCTAGATTCAGGGGCCATCTCACCTTCCAAACGAGGGCTGCCTGTGGAGTACCAGGACCCTGACTGTGGACCCTTCCCAGAGGTCCCTGGCCTTTCTTGGGTGGCCACAGTTGCAGATGCTGTTCCTGGGACCACGCCACATCCTGTTATTGTCTCTGGGAGTACCTGTGTCTCGGAGCACTCTGGTCACTGCACACCACTCAGCCAGGATGAAGAGGATGCCCAAGCAGCCACTGGTAGGTCATGGGGAAGAATCTGTCCCCATCCCCACAAACTTCAGCCAACCTGCAGAGTGGACCTGGTCTCTCCCAGGTGTGCAGGCTATCAGAAGCACAATAACTTAGAGGAAAGCTGTACCCCAAACCCCCATAAATGGGAACCTATATTAAGGTGAAGGCCTAAGGGGTTTATGAGTTTTAGTAATTTTTTCATCAGAAAAGCACACAGAAAGCTTGAGCGCCATCCTATGGATACATGGTCGCGGCATCCTCTGATCATATTTGGCACTTGCTTTTTCAAATCCACACCTTCACCCCTCGCACTCTGGGACTCCTGTGTGGAGGCTGTGGGGGTCAGAGCCACCTCCCTGTTGATGGGAGCCACTTCTTGTTGGCCAGCTTCCTTAAGCCAGGAGGTGAGCAGGACCAAGATGGGAGCAGAGATGAGCTCTGTGGACTTTGGCATCAGCATCTTAGGGAAGGGAGGTACGGGTGGCATTCTGGCCTCTTGGCCCGAGTAGGATGCCCATAATTGCTGTGTAGACTCCATAGCTGGTGGTGCAGGCTGGCCTCCCCGTCATGACACCCTCTGTCAATGAAGACAGGCTTGGGACTTGCCCAAAGCCAGGCTGCCCTTCTGGAACTTCTCTGCAACCTCTGGGGCACATCAATACCCACCCCTTCACTCAGAGGGAGGCACTACGCCTGGAGTATAGGATTTCAATTTTTCTACCTGGTCCCAGACCTCTGAGCTGAAGCTGGCCTGGGTCTCATGGCCCTTTGGCCTGGTGGCCCTGCTACTGACACTAAGTACCTCCTGAGATGTGGTATGAAATGACTTCAAGAAAGTCATGGACAAATATTTTTATCTTAAGGATATTTATCATAATGTGTATTAGAAAAAATATGTAACTGGCCCATAAGACATTTGAGTCCATTAATCATGTCTAAACTTAAAGAGTGAGTTGCTTCAAAGGAAAAAAAGGATCCACCCTCTAACTGACCAGGTGGTACTGGGGCAAAGCGGCGATCATGAGTGTGATTTGCAGTGTCTGAGGAGCAGGACACACAGCCTCCCCTGGGTCTCAGAGGCTGAGTTTAGCTGCCAAACAGAAAACCCTCAACAGTGACTTAGACAAGGTGGGGCTTATTTGCAGGGAAAAGCAGGGAGGTGGCATCATGTCAAGCTGTTCTGTGAGGTCATTGGAACCACGGAGGAGGAAGCCCAGGGCTCAGGGTCACTTGTAGAGCTATAGCCAGCACATCCACATTCCAGGCCAAGGAAAGGCCACCTGCCAACCTCTGCCTCTGCCTTGCTGGCCAACACAGTGCACTCATGGCCCTCCCTTCTTCAAGGCCTTCTGGGAATTGTAGCTGGGTTCATTGCCTTAATATAACCAGGTTTCCATGATTAGGAAGGAAAAATGGACACTGGGTTGTCACCCAGCAGTCTATAACACCCTCCCCAGGGTGCAGATAGCAAAGTTGAGGCCCAAAGAGGGATCTAGTATTCCAAAGTGATTGTTGGCTCATGCTACTAAAAATGGAGGACGCCCTTGGCTTAGCTTTGGGGGCCCCTCCCACACTGCCTCCTTGCCCTTCCATTCTCAGCCCAGCCTCTGGCCTGGCCCCTAGCAGAGCCTGGGGGTGACTGCAGGACCTTCCACGGCCCCTGGGCACCTGCCACCAGCACTCAGGCACCCTCAGCTGCTTGTCCCTCAGGTGGGGTCCCTTCCCACCCCTGCCGGTGCTCCTCCTTCCACGGCCCAGTTGGCCTGCAGGCTCTGTTCTGCCACAGATGACCCTCCCTGCCTGGGCTTCTGCAGGGGCCTGACCTTGCCTGATGGGGTTGCAGTCATGTCTCCTGGGAGGGTTCCAGGGTGGTTGAAGGGATGCGCGGGTACATAGTGCGAGAACAGGGTTGGCTACGGCACAGGCATTCGCTGTGCCTCAGCTGTGGCAACTGTCATTGCACATTTGTTGCCTCGTCACCCATCTGTCCCCGGAGTAGTCAATCTTGTGCTTTCTCAAAGCTCAGACCTTGACTGGGGGATGGGACAGCCCCCTCTCAGGCAGGTACACAGTGGCCACTCAGGAGATGGCCATGACAAGTGAACTGCGAGAAACTGGCACACTTCGGGCTGTGTGCCCAGGGAGAGGATGGTCTGAGGCTCCTGGTGACTGCACAGGGTGTGGAGTGGCAGGCCCAAGACAGCTCTTATTTAAAAGCAGTAATTGTACCATTTGGCTCATAAAGCACTTTCTCATCCATCAGCTAACCCAAGTCTCATTTAGCAGCCCCCCCCCCAGGCCTGTGGGGAAAGAGGAGCAAATTTTCTTTTACAAGTGAGAAGCTAAGGCTCAGATGGGTTTGAGACTTGCTCAAGGCAAAGGAAGCAGGATCCAGTGGGGATGAGCCATGCCTCTGCCCCTCTGAGAGCAGAACCCCGTGCTCCCCAGTCCCTGTCTCCTTCCCTCTCTCCTAAGGCCACCAAGCAATGCAGCATGAGAGCTGCTGTGCAAGCCCTCCCCCCCACCCCCGCAGACTGTGGCAGGAGACACCCCAGATGTCACCCAGACATGACCCCAGCGTGTCTCAGGGCAGGGCGAACTAGTCGGCACTGGGCCAGCAGGCAATGTCTGTGCTTTTCTGATTCTAGGAAAACTGTGAAAACACAGTGAAGTTCACATGTGCTCATCACGTGTGTCCCCACCAGGATGGAGATGGAGAGCATGTGCCCTCAGGAGCTCTGCTCTGACTCTGTCTCCGCAGGGCAGTGCCGGTTCTTCCCCTCCCCATCACATGGAAAGGCCCCCCTTCTCTGCTCCTGTAAGAGCCTTCACATCCTGAGGGTTCATGGCTGTTCTCTTTTGTAGCTATGTGACACTGCTGGTTAAATGTCATGATCTGCTTCTCTGGTCTCTTGCTGATGCCCTTTGGGTTGTTTCCAGAAAGGCCGAAGCCATGGAGCAGCTGTGAGGCCCATAGTTGGGCGCACGAGAACCCTCTCCACACTGTGTATTGGGTTGGAGCTCCAGGAGTGGAGTTGCTGGGTGACCAGATGATCACTGGTCTGCTCTTAGGACTACATGCTGTGGGATGGCTGCCTTGCAGCCCTGGGTGGGACACTGCTCTGGCCTTCCCCAGTCAGGACCTCGGTGTCTGCTCTTAGTGGGCAGTGGCCCCATGTGATCTTCACCCTGCTAGGGCCTGGCAGGCTGTGGAAAACACCTAATATCCAGGACCCAAGTGGGGCCTTTATGAATTCTCCCTGGAACTCTCTTTAGGGCATTTTCCCATGACCTCTTGACCCCTGAGACTCTGGCCCTTGCCCTTTCTTTGTGTCCCTTGGCCATGGCAGAGGGATGAGAAACTGCCACAGATCTGATTACTCACTGGGCTGAGACCATAGGCTCTTTCTCACTTCCAGCCGGATTCAGGAACTCCGTTCTGCAAATGTGGCAGCTAACATTGACCTAAGGATGTCTATTACGTCCACAGCATGGAGGGAGTCAGTGAGGTGGTGTGTGCCCCAGTGAAGCAGTGTGATATGGAGGCTTCAGAGTCAAATAGCTTCAGGTGTGATATGAACTTCAGAATCAAATAACCTAAGACACATACCAGCTCATATCTCCTTCCTGGGCCTCCATCTGCAAGATGGAGCCTGTTATCCCCAGTAGAAAAAGTATAAGAGAGATTCTTCTTAGAGTACTCATCATGCAATGAGGCATGAATCCAGGATTTCCAATTGGCAACCTCAATTTCCCTCTGTGCAAAAGAAGTAGCAGGCCTTCCACTCTATGGAGTAATTTTTTTTCCTAATTTGTTTTCCTTCCTTTCTTTGTGCTGCTGGGGATGGAACCCAGAGCCTCACACATGCTAAGCAAGCACTTTAGCACCTAACACAACCAGCCCTGATGAGCAATTTTTAAGCATACAAATATAATTTTTAAAAAACAAGAACATGAGCCAGGGTGGGTGGTAGATGTCTGTAATCCCAGCCATTGGGAGGCTAAGGCAGGAGGGTCACATGTTTGAGACCAGCGTGGACAACTTAGCAAGACCCTCAAAATAAAAATTAAAAAAGGCTGGGGGTGTAGCTCAGTAGTCGAGCGCCCTGGGTTCAATCTCTGGTACTGAAAACAAATAAACTATAAGACCTCCTGCAAAGACAGCTGGAGGCTCCTGTACCATGACAGGTCTGGGGAGGGCAGCCAAAGCTGTGAGAGGGCCAGAGCTTCTGCTTGCCCCCCAAGAACTCACACACAGCAGTGGGTACATCCTGCCCCACAGCAGAGATCCGCACCAGCCATTTCCAGGAACCGGGGAACTCCACTGAACAGGATTCCTCATGCAACTGAGATGGATAGACACCTCCCAGGGACGGATAGACCTGGGAAGAAATCCCATCTTCTACCCCAGTGTCCTTTCCCACCAGTCTCAAGAGTAGGAAAATAGGAAGATGTCCTTTGTGTGGTCATTGGGGTCCTGGGGCTGCCCTCACAAATGACTGCAGTCTGGGTGGCCTAGAAGAGAGATTGATTCTCTCACATTCTGAGGTCCAGGTGTTGGCCAGGCAGGCTCCCTCCGAAGGTGGCAGAGAGGGTCTGCTCAGGTCCTCTCCAGCCTCTGGTGGCTCTTTGGCTGGTGGCAGCATCTTCCCGTGAGCTTGTCTGACTCATCACATGGCTGTTTATTTATTTACTTATTTATTGTCATCATTTAGTGCTGGGAATTAAACCCAGGACCTTGCACATGCTAGGCAAGCACTCCACTCAGCTGTGCCCTCAGCCCACATGGACATCAGTCATATTAGAGCAGGGTCCACCCTCCTCTGGTATGACATCATCTTTACACCTATAGCAATCCTGTCTCCAAACATGCTCCCGTTCTAAAGTATGGGTGGTTATGGCTTTAGTACTAAATTTAGGGTTGGGAATGGGATAAACAACTCAGCCTATATCAACTGGGGAGGCAGAAAAGCCGGTAACCCCCCCCCCCAGAGGCCACGTCATAAATACGTTTGCTCATAGCATACAGTGTGAGGCAGGGTTTCTGCAGAGGGAATGCTGAATCAGTTGCAGGAATGTATTGTTTTTCATTTTTATAAGTGTATACAAAGAGATTTGTCATATTTAAATTCTCATTAAAATGTCTAATAAAGTCGTTTTCTAGTATCCCTTTATTCATGCTTCTGTAAGCTATTTGTGAAGTGATTTCAAACATATGTTACATGGATCTGCTGGGTCCAAGTGGCAAATGATGTTTATGATGTTTCTGAGTTTGAAAGGTTAAGCTGAATTAAAAATTGCAAACTTGCCAGGCACCGTGGCGCAGGCTTGTAATCCTAGCAGCTCAGGAGGCTGTGGCAGGAGGATCTCGAGTTCAAAGCCAGCCTCAGTAATGGGAGGCACGAAACAACTCAGTGAGACCCTGTCTCTAAATAAAATACAAAATTGAGCTGGGGATGTGGCTCAGTGGTTAAGCACCCCTTAGCTCAATCCCCAGTGCCCACTCCCCCACCCCAAAAAAGTTGCAAACTTGTGGGGCATGGTGGCAAACACCTGCAATCCTAGCAACCCAGGAGGCAGAGGCAGGAGGATCACAGTTCAAGGCCAGCCTGGGCAATTTAGTGAGAACTTATCTCTAAATAAAAAAATTTTTAATGTCTTCCTTTCACCCATGTTACTAATACAAACAAAAACTGGGTTAGTAGCACCCATGTTCTGAGTACCTTTGTCTTTTGGCCGAATCTGTAGCATCAAATTGCCTCAACCACCCCACACACAGTCTCGAGAGTAGGAAAATAGGAGGTTGTTCTTTGGGTGGTCATTGCTGTCCTGCCCTCCCACGAGCAGCATGGATCTCACTGGGACTTCAGCCTCTTACTCAGATAGAAGCTGACATCAGCCCCATGGGCTCACACCAGGCCACTCCACTGGAAATGTCCCTGATATTTTCTACTGTGGCTGGTCCCAGGTGTTGTTGCAAGAGAAGGATGTGTGGGACCAGAGTGGACAGTGTGACCCAGAGAGAAGCAAGGGAAGAAAGTCATGCAGGATAGGTAGACAGCACTCATGGGGTTTCCTGGAGAGGAGAGGTCGGAAGTCTGAGTGGCCAGTAGGCCACTGGTGGGGAATGAGCTTCCCATATTGGTGACATGGGCATCAAATCACAAGCAGGACTTCTTGGTCTCCTTCTACAGAGCCAGTCATCCCTCAGAGAGGCTGAGACTCACATTCCCCACTGGCTTATCCTTTTGATGTTTTTGCACAGATTCATGTTTCAGTCCATCCAACCTCTATAAGAAAACACCAGACAGGCTGGCTTATAAACAGGAAGCTATTTTCTGTAGTTCCAGAAGCTGGGAAATCCAAGATCTGGGATCTAGTGAGGGTCTGCTGCTGACTTGCAAAGTGTTGACTACTGGCTGTGACCTCACATAGGGAAGGAGGGTTCTCAGGGGTCCCTTTTATGAGGGCACTAGTCCACCCTCCTGACTTGGTCACCTCCCAAAGTCCACATCCTAACCTTAACCCTAACCCTAACCTTCCTAATATCATCACTTTGAGATTAGGTTCAACATAAGGTCAGCCGACACAAACATTTCATCCATTGCAATTATTCTGTGTGAATACTTCAGTTCTTTTTTTAAATATATTTTTTAATTGTCAATGAACCTTTATTTAATTTATTTATGAGTGGTGCTGAGAATTGAACCCAGTGCCTCACACATGCTAGGCAATTGCTCTACCACTGAGCCACAACCCCAGCTCTGTACTTTGGTTCTTGAGTATAACTTCCCCAAGGTTTCTGTCCCTCATGGTACCCTCAGCCTGTGGAAGGGGAGCTGATTTCCACCCACCATGCTCTGGGAGCTCTTCAAGCCAGGACCCAGGTCCACCCTAACTTGATCTTCCATGACCCACACAGAGCCTGGCCCCCACTTTCCTTCCTTTGGGGTTTCCTTTGCTTTCAGAGTGAAATGTAGTCCTAAGCATCTAGCCTCCTCTGGCTATTCCCAAAACCTGCAAGACATTGGAGATAAACACTGCAGAGATAAGACTCCACACAGGGGCGGGAAGTAATGAGTGCACAATTAATCAAGAGGGTTCGTCTGTCTGTTCTCCTGGATTTTCACATCTTGCAGGCAGTGTGGAATAATAAGGGTGGTAGGAAGCTGGGTCTGGAAACTGAGGCTGTTGCTCAGCAGCTGTGCCTTGGGCTAGTCACCCAACCTCTGTAAGTGGCTCAGCTTTGGCCACCAAGCCAAATCTTGCCTATCATCCCACAATCAGATCCTCCCAAATCCCCTGTGTGTTCCTAACTCAGGAAGAATGTTTCAAAAACAGAGGTGAAATTGACAAAGGGTGGAGAGCAGATGAACCCCCAGTTATCAGCTGATCCTGGGGTATCAACAAAAAGCTAATCCTGGGAAACATTCCTTGCCAAAGCTCTGATGCTAACAGTTATCAGACATCCCGGGACAATGGGTGTCCTGGATACAGCAGGATAATAGCAAAATGTTCTTAGCACTGCAACAGTAGGAGAGCTACAAAAAATGTTTCTAGCTCTGTAAATTTTTAGTGCATAAAGAAGCCTCTGACAATTTACAAGCCTTGGACAATTTACAGTGCCCCTGTAGTTTAACTTCCGGATTCAGAGACCCTATGTAATGAACGTGCGGAGCTAGTTCTAGGTCCCTGTGGCACCACCAGAGTGCAGTCTCCCACCTGGCCCCAGCTTTTTATGAAATTACCTCTGTGTCTTCTTTGTCTCTGTGTTTTTCTTCATCTCCCATGGCCCCTACTCGAGAATCCTTTGTTGATGCTGTGAGGGTTGTGGCAGTTGGTGCCCAGCAAGGGGCTCAGGCACAGGGGAACTCAAACAGAAGAGACACTCCTGGAAACACACGCATTGATCCCCACATTAGTAATAATCACCGTTAAACAAGGTAAGGAGCACATATTTGTGGGATCAGTCACTAGATGTAAAACACGGAAAATTCCAGTTCTCAGAAGAGAAATCTTTATGTGCAAGCACTTAAAGCAATGCTTAAAGATCAAGGATGCACTTTATTTATTTACTTATTTATTTGATACCAGAGATTGAACTCAGGGGCACTCGACCATTGAGCCACATCCCCACCCCTATTTCATATTTTAATTTAGAGAAAGGGTCTCACTGAGTTTCTTAGTGCCTTGCTTTTTGCTGAGGCTGGCTTTGAACTCGTGATCCTCCTGCCTCAGCCTCCTGAGCAGCTGGGATTACCGGCAAGCACCAACTCACCTAGCAAGGATCCACTTTTAAAGATAAACAGCGTGTTAAATTTTAAAAAATCTGTTGATAAAAAATTGTTGTTGGTTTCCAGAGGAGGGTACTTTCAATTTGGATACCTGGGAAAAAGTTGGGGAGCAACTGTGTGCTTGTTATATTAATGAAGGTTCAGATAAAATTCTCATGTCAGCTTTTACTTTAAGATCATAATTAAAGACTGTTTAAATCCTACCCAAGAGAAATCAAGATTACTTTCCTCTACCAAGGTAACAGATTTAAAACAAACTTTAGACGGGTGTCAGATTCTAAAGTTATCCACCCTGGCCTCCCTCTCTAGAGGCTTCAGGGATAAGCTGAGTTAAACCATTACCCTTACAATATGAGCAAGAATTAAGGGCTGGGGTTGTGGCTCAGTGGTAGAGCACTTGCCTAGCCTGTGTGAGGCACTGGGTTGGATCCTCAGCACCACATAAAAACATATAAATAAAATAAAGGTATTGTGTCCATCTACAACTTACTTTGTTACTGTAACTCTTAAAAA